CCTTTGAATTAGTTTAAAAACAATCGCTGAAGTTATTTAGCACTTTGAGGGGAGAAAATAGCTAATGTGAAATGTCATAAGTGAATGATAATTTAATTTTTTTAAAATACAATTTTCTTTGGGGGCATGATCAGATAAACAATATTCAGTGCCTTAAAATTAAGCTGTATCTTTTACTATTTTTAAGTTTATTCACTGAACTACCCATAATTTTAAAATAGTATCAAAATGTTTACTTTTTCATGTTGTTAATGTAAAATATATTGTGCACAATTTGAAAAATACAAACAAAAATTAAAAATAAGCTCCAAGAATGCTGTTATGTTCATCAAAGTATTTCTTCTTTTCATTTTGTGCATATCATGCTCTAAATATGAAACAATACCATTTTTTTATTTACTACAATATAATGAGAATTTATGTATGACATTTAAATGCAAAAATGTTTAAAGCTTTTGATCCAAAGGAGAATAGCAATCTCCCACCTCTAACCCCAAAGTGGGCACTTCTAGAATAAGATACTCTTTTTTTTTTTTTTTTTTAACTTTTTAAGTGGAGAATTATTCCTGCATTAGGAATCTTTTTTTTTTTTTTTTTTCTCTTTTGTGGCCTGAAGACTTCCTGCACATTGACCTGCTTCTCTTACAGACTCAAACTTTTGTAATATAGGGATGAGATTTTTTACATAAGTAGTCAATAGGAAGCTAGTCAATGAGAAAGAAAGACTCTGATAAGCATGGTGACCATATAATTTAACCTTTAAACATGAATAATAATAGATGTGTTGGAGAATCCATAAACCAGCACTGTTCTAGGCAAAGAGGAACATATTTAAGGAAGGTATCAAAAAAGAAATTTGAGTAATAAATTCTAAAATTAATATCAATTGAAATCATTTTGTGTATACCAGACTCAGTAAACTAAAATCTATTGGCCACATCCGGCCCCAGTGTCTCTTTATATGTTTTCTCAACTAAGAATTGTATTATGCGTCTAACTGACTGAAAAAAAAATCTTAAGCGTGATTCTTTCTTGTCATAGAAGTACCTACACAATGTCCTTCATTTTGCATCTTGAATTACAAAGCCTAAAATATTTATAATTTGGCCCTTTACGGAAAAAAGCTTGTCATCCTCTGTATATGCTAATATATTCTACTCTAATAGTTTACATTGTTTCATGCTTTGCTGCTTATCAGTTTCTCTGATTTCGTGGTTCTCACAACTGAGTAAAATATGGACTCTTGTAAAAAAAAGAAGAAAATTCTTTAAACTCCAGACAATACAGTTTTTCATGCAATAGATGAGTAACCATTGACTTACAAAGCAAACTTCTGTTCTGTAAAATTCAGCTTCAACTGAGAATTACCACTGAGAAATATGCTGAAATATTACTTTGATCATTATATTAACAATACTGAAAAATTCTCTCAGTGGACCTCAAATGCTAGTTTAAGAAATTGTTATTCTAGTATATTCCAGCTGTACTGTAGGGTCTGGGAAAGCATTCAAATAATTGTTTTCCTTCTAAAGGCAGGTATTAAAACTGTAAGTAAATAATCTATCCAACTACTTACTTTATTTCATTCTACTCTTTTTTGCTTCCATTTTCTGTATATAAATGTATTATAAAATGGTTTAAATATGCAGTCAAACTTTTATAACAATCCATAAAATTGCAATAGATATATTTTCTGTAATATTATGTAAAGCACATAGAAAAAACTGACATAATCCTATCAAGCTATGACTAATTTGACTAAGTCTTGGATATTGTAATGCATTTTTAATTAAATTGACAAAATAAAAAACTTGTTTTAATTTTTTTAGTTTTCTTATTCGTTTCTTTAATGCACTTTTTAAAAAAGTAGGCACACTCATTAACATTTTTGTCTTTCAAAACTCATTCTAATCTTTAAGATAATATCTGGCATTATTTCATTGATCTCATGAATCTTTCTTATGATCTTTCTGGTAAGGGATCACTTGAACCATGATAACTTCCTGGAAAAAACAAAACTGAACATCATGAATAAACTATAATTTTTTAGCACCATCTGACAGTGTTGGGGGCAATTTTTTATTTATAAACTATTAAGCGTCTTCTACATTTTCCCACAGGAGGTTCAACAAATACACAAAATTATTTCTGTGTGGGTCACACATATTAAAATCAACCAATGAATGAAATTTACATTTAACCAGAAACACAACAGGAATAAATAAAATTAGGGTTAAAGGAAAGCATAAATAGCTTTCCACATTTTACATTCATATCCATTCCTTACTAGCTGTGGCTTAGAAAATTTATATTATCTTGGTTAATCACCTTCCTTCACGCAGTTTATAAACAAGTATTAGAGTAAAGGATAAAGATAAGAGAAAATAAACAAATTTAAGTTCATTTCCCTATTTACTCTGTTTCCTAAGAGCTCAAGTTAGTTGATATTGTAAGTTTCCACTAAAATAAAGCTGATTGTGTTGCAAATTCTCTAGACCTTTGTTAAGCACCTAACATCCCCTTGTCTAGTGGGAAAATGATGTTTGCTTTCCAAAAAGGAAAAGCACAGAGTGAGTAACTTCTCAAAGTGTGGCGAAAGGTTTTGGAATGAGGACACTAAAAGGTTAAAAATACAAAAAGAAAGAAAAAAGACAAAAACTCAATAGACAATTTCTCTGTGTAATCAACCTATTGAAAACTAAAGTCAGTTTGGGAATTCTACAATTATCTGATCCATCTTGATAGTGCTGACTGTTGGTTGTGGAAATTTGAGTTCCCTAAGGTAGGCTATTTATCAACCCAAGTTCCACCAAAACCTCGTTGCCTGATAGACTAGATCAGGGGTATTCAGCAGAAATAAATTTGGCTATGAAGTTTCCAAGATTTACAATTTGCTATCTGAAATATTATTCAAGTTACAATTACTGCCAGAGTATGCTGTGCAATGTCACGTGAAGATAATTAGATGTCAGCCTGCATAATTAGTGTCCTCTTCCTGAGATTCCTTTTTTACCAAATAATTATTATTTTCAGGTAAGTGTGGAAAGTTTTTTTATTTTTCTTGTCCCTATGGTAAATCATGTGAAATGTTTGGATTGGTACATAAGCCAGTAGAGGGAAGAATGCTAATATTGGTAGAACGTTGTGTTGAAATTTTTATTAACCTAAAAATTATTAAAAGTAAAATCTCCCATACATGGTGGTTGTAATCTCAGCAATAGAGAAGGCTGAGGCAGGAGGATAGCTTGAGGGAAGGAGTTCAAGACCAGCCTGAGCAACAGAGCAAGACCCTTCCCCTACAAGAAAAAAAAAAAAAAAAAAAAAGCTGGGCAGGGTGGTGGCAACTACCTGTAGTCCTAACTACTTGGGAGAGAGGCTGAAGTGGGAGAATCTATTGAGCCCAGGAGTTCCAGGTGATGGTGAAGTATAATGGAACAACTGCACCCCGACCTGGAGATATAAAACCCTGTGTCTAAAAACTAATTAATTAAAATAAATAAAAAATAAGTAAAAATAAATGAAAGTAAAATCTACCTTCATAAATGGCTTATCTAACTACAGCTTATGTTGCAGGTATGAGACTTTCAAGATAAATCTTATAGTGAAGGTAAAATATTGCTGTGAGCAGGTCATTGTGCTGAAGTCAAGCTTCTAAGTTACAAGATGAAGTTCTTCCAGTGAATTGGAGATGGTAGAATAACTAAATCTATGCCTTGGAAGCAGGACTGTGCGGTTTTTGTTGGCCTGCTTCATGTCTATCTTCTTTCTAAAGTATATCACCTTATATTTACATGTTTGAGTTTTCCTTGTTTTATTTTTAAATACATTAAGAACGTAATTTTATAGTAAAAATGTTTCTTAAAATCGAAATGAAAAATTTAAATGAAGACTACATAGTGACCTCGTTTTACGTACTATTTCATTAAAATATGTGCACATTTACTTTTCACCACTAGAAAAGCAGAAAGCCAAAATGAATGGACAGATCATTTCTTCACCCCATTCCAACTTGAAGTAGCCTTTCTTACCACATTTCAACTTAATTCCTTCTTTAGAGAAGAAAGGCTGCCAATGAAACTCAATTTACAAAGATATCTTTGATTCAAGAAAGTATATGTCATCTAATATAAATAAAATATATTAAATTTTCACATAAGAGGGGGGAAAACTGGCAGAGAAACCTCAGGCAATGATATTTAGAATTTTTTTTCAAATTGGTAAATTTTAGCATTGCTGTTGAGATGGGACAGAAATTCAAAGCAATCTGTTAGTACACATAGAAATGTTTTCTTTCTTTTTTTAAGTTTCTGAGTTGAAAAGAAGGCCACGATTAAGAGATTGAATAAGAGAAGGTGCTTACTTGAATAGATACCAATTTAACAAATAAAGAAGATAACTATAATAGTCAGGGACATAATTTTACAACAAATAGCAAGAAAATAATTAAAAATAGATAATAAATGATATAAATAGAAAAACTTGAAGAAAAAAATACATTATCAAAGTAAAATTATTTTTCCTTTATTTTCTCTACATTTTACATGATTTTTAAAAGTCTGTAACTTTTTCGTATTTGTCATTAATTTAGATATAAAACAAAAATTTCCTAAAAAAAGATAACATTTTGACTTAGGATTACTTTTATCTTAAATGTGAAATTTCTGTAGATGCCTCTGAAAATAAATCAATCTTCATATTAATGATAAGTTCTTTTTCCTACCATATGCTGTAAGATTGTAAAGCTAGCCAGGTAAATGTCTCAGGAATTATTTTGATGAAAGTGAAGGATCTGAGTTCTACTCCATTATGAGGCAAAGTAATGTGACAGTTATGCATTGTCCCCCCTAAATCCACAGGTGCTGCCACATTAGCTTCCTTGCTGTGTCTTTATTTACAAGGAATCAAACCATCTTAAATCAAACTGGTACGTGCATCCATTCACTTCCCTTCCAATCAAACTGAATTACCTGTCAACAGAGAAGTACACTTACAAGTGTGAAACCATTTGACCATGTTATATTTTAATTTGCAGAGACAAAAATGACAAGCAATTTATTTACATAAAACTGTACAAAAGCAAATTAAATTATGTAAAGTATTTCATAAATAGTTGGACGAGTGTTTAATACATTTCGCCATGTTAAGCATAGTTGCGTGCATAGTGACTCATAATAAACGATGATAAATTGTTCTCTGCTTCACTATCAACATCCAAGTAGCAGAACAATAGTCAATGATTAACATTACAAACAGATCGTACCACACTGAATGCAAGTGCTTTAAAATGTAGGAAAATCTGAAAGTAAACCCTAGGTAGCTGAAAAAAATGATGCCTTCCTCCAGATGTTATCATTATACCTTTGCTTAAGTCACACCTAACATCCTTTATTATATTCATGATCATCTTCACTTTTTTTTTTTTTTCTTAAGGACACATTTACTTATTTATCGCTGATAGCATATACCTAAGATTGTTTAGGTCTTTAACTTTCTCATGACTGTTTTTGGATGGCTGTTTGATTCTTGACAATTTCTTCTGGTCTGTGTGTTTCATTCTATTTTCCTACAAGACAGCTTCCTAGGGTAGTGTTTCAGTCAGACATCCTCAGTACCATCTTAGTTCTTCCTCCCATAAAAATAATGCCTCCCTTGTTTTCTGAAACTCAGGCAGCAGGCCAGTCAGAAGCCATACAGAAATGATATCTGGAGATTCAGAAAGAGCAGTAGATTTTAGACTGAAGCTACAGACGTTTTAACATACATAAATTTATATAGTTACTCATTAATTTATAAATGTGTCCTAATGTATAATGCATGCAAAATTCACTTGAGATTCTTGTGTACAGAAAACAAATATGGTTTATATACTGTACAACCAAAATGAAATCTTAGCTAAAAGAAACAAGAAAACAAAAAAGAAATAAAGAATAAAATTCTAAATCAATATTTACCTTGCAAATGGACTGATTTCACTCCTGATAAAACCTGTTACTCTTACAATACATGCTTTCATCTTTTAGTCAGATTTAAGCAGCCCATATTAATGCCTTAATTTTGCTTTATAAAATAACAATATTTAAGACTGGTCCATTATCTGAGTTTGTCAGAAGGCAAATTTTTAATATATTATTTATTATTTTCAGAAAATAAACATGGATAAATATACAGGATCAAAAAAGGTGGGAATAGCCCATTTCCCCTCATCGTCCAAACCCAACAACCGTTTTTTTACCATAACAACAGGTATAAAAGGCACAGTTGCTTATTTTGCATTCACTCATTTATTTATTTATTTTTTTGTTTCTTTTTATTGATTTTTTTTCAAAAGCACTCTATATATGGAGTGGCACCAGATTTAACCTATTCAAAATAAAAGTCATACAAACACAAAATATATTTCTGTGTCATGCCAGCTCATTATAGAATAAACATGTTATGATAGCTAATTCTACTAGAATTACTGGAATACTTACAGTACACTGAATTGTATTCTTTCACACCCATTTTAGTTCTAAAGAGAGGTTCACGAGTTAAATGACAATGGCATGGCTGTCTTGAATGTGGTGCAAACATCATTGGGGAATGTGGATCCAATTAATCCAAAGGTCCGGTGTGACCCGTATTAGTTTTATAGACAAGAGAAGGGTTTAAGATAGAGTGAAATGAGCTATCAGCAGTTTCAGTGTCTCGTGAAAGAAAGAAATGCATTTAAAAAAAGCTTGTTGAACATCTGTGTTATGCAATTATTTCCTTTGTAACGTGCAAGAAAAAATATGTATACATTTCATAAGTATCTTTAGAAGTATTTTGTCTTAATAGGTACTTACAGATTATACAAGGCAGAACTGCTTTAATGCAGTTTCCTAACAAAGTACTAGAAATGCATCTTTCCATAGTGTAAATAATCAAACATAAACATGTTCAATTACCGATATTTTAGTCCAATGTTTTTGTTTCATTACATATCTTTTTGCATCCTACCTATTATACATAAACTGACATCAAAATGAAAACTTCATTTAAGAAAGAGCATAAGGAAATGACCCCCAAATAGTACTCCACCAAACAGAGAAGTGGTTTTCAAAGGTAAGTATTTTGAGGACCTATAGTGAATTATCAACCTATATTCCAGGCTGTGTCACTTTATATTCTAAGAACTTCTGCAAAGCATGAAACTACCCAAAGCTACATTGTTTCTACAGTTTGCTAGATAGCCATCAAGGCTATGCCTTAACCAGCTTACAAACATTCATTGACATTGATGAGAGTTTGTTGTCTTCACACCTGTTTTTCCCTATTCTGTCCATGGATTGTCACTTTCGTCTGAATGTCCCAGCTCAATTTTCAGGCGCATTCGGTTATCCTCTATAGAGTAAGTAGCTCAAAATCTGCATATTCTGTTTCTTTTTATTGCACTGGAAAAACTCTGCTTTCAACTTTGGGATATACATCCTGTGAAAAATGTCACTGCCCAGAACCCCTTTCTTTCATGTTCAGTCTAAATTTAAAACATGCATTAAATAATGTTCAAATCACATTACTGATAAATTCAATTAAGGTGTCACCTTGTTTCAATGTTGTGAGTCTCAAAATATTTCCATATTGCACACAATTTAAAATTAATGCACTTGTGGTGCATTAATGTGTGCACTGAACAAGTAAAAAATGCAATTGTACTTTAAAATATGGATAAAAAGAGCAGCAATCATAGCCTGGATTTTGAAATAGTAATTGTGGACCTAACTTACAAGACTGTATACCAATGCATCTTTCTTGACCTACCCATGACCCATAAATACTATTTTAAAACATGGAATCCTCCCTGAAAATGATACCTGAAACTAAACTTGAACCTCAACCAATTGCCTCTTATAATACCAAAAATGTATCTCACTAGTTTTCATTTTCTGAGCTTTCAAATGAAATCCATTTTAAAAGAATAAAGATGTTCCTGGGCACTATAAAATAAGCGAGTGTTTGATTGTTTCTGTGCACACACGGGTTCAGTTGCTTTTGTTGCTTAATGGTTTTCCACGTCAAGACCAAATCAACTTCATGATTTCCCTGATCCGCCATATGATCTTTGGCCTTTGGATGATAGAGTTGCTCAAGTTAGTTAATAATAGTGGTCCTGTTCTGAAAAAAATATGCTTTTTTGCAAGTCATAATTAGTGAAATTGATACATGTAATCACAACTGTATGTATACTGAGAATATTTGGTGAATATATGAAATTGAAGTTGATGCTCTTGACCTGAAAATAACAACATATGCCAATTTAACACTGCAATCACCCACTGAGTATTGTTTTGCTCTTAGTCTTTGTTGGAATATTAAAGCTTTGATCTTCCCAAAATGCTTTTTAATATGCTCCCTCTTTCTAAGGACTGTACCTTTAGAGAGACTCTATCACTTTCAAAGGATTGCCTTTGATGGTGATAAACCATATTCCGATGATATGTCTGAAATATATTTTATCTGTCCTGCTTATTTTTGACCAGCCGGATGACACTCGAACAAAATCAAAGTGACTAAAATCATGCTTCAGCTTAGGGATAATGAGAGTGTGTTGTGTTCTGCTAATCAGGCTTCGTACAGTTACCGTGAAAGAAACTTGCAACCATCCCCTCTTTTTTTTTTCTTTCCTTTTTTTTTTTTCTTTTGGAGAGGGGTGGGGAAGAGAGAAAGTGAGTGTTGGGAATCAGTGAAGGGGTTAGACATGCAAGTAACAAGAATGGGTTCTACATTGTACAGTAGAATCAGGCTAACAGTATCACTAAAGGCCTGATCTGGAGGCAGAAGTGGCAGGCAAAGCTTTGTCTCTTTGGTAGCCCCTTCTCTGTGATTAAACCATTTTGCTTTGTAAGGTTTTTTGCCCCTTATTCTCCTTTTCACACATGTAAAGAACTTTGCTGTTGCTCCTTGATAGCCTACAGGTAAACTTCTCTTCTAGTGAGAGTATTCACAGGAGATGGCTTATATTCCCCCGTTTTTGTAAGGGGAATATCCTCAGGGTGGGCTTCCTCATTTTTGCTGAAACTAGCTGCACTGAAGGTCTCATAGGATGAGGTTAACTTTTTGTTCAGGAGGTTTCTGTTGCGGTCACCCATGATGGCGGCCTCCCCATTGGCCAGCTTTTCCTGGCTTCCTCGTTCATCAACAGGCATGAAAGTAGAGAGTTTAGGCTGGCTCTTCTTCCTCTCGGGAGAAGTGCGGACGGGCATCCAGCAGGAGTCTGAGTGGCCATACTCATCACACTCACGAGTGCACTTCCCAGTCAGGGCTACATCTGGAAGAGGCCTTGAATCTGAAATCCAAGGAGAATAACCCATTAGTACTGGACACTCCTCAACAGGCTTCCCTGATCTACATGGCATTGGGGAATATATAAATATATTCTTTACCATCTTTTTTTCTCATTTCCCAACACCCTCTAGCTCATCATTCCATAGGATAGTTTTTAATCTAATGTGCATCAAATATAAGGTTTTGCAAAGACATTCAATATTATAGAATAGGAAAATAGACAAAATGATACGTTTTGATACAAAAGTGTGTAGATGCGACAGATATATATGTGTTTGTTACAGGACAGGGACATGAGGATATTCTCAATTAGAAGCTCTAAGTACATAGGTAAATTTGTATGGGTGTTAATATTTTCCACATCCATAAGAAAAATGATTAAATCCAAATAGACAATTTTCTGGACTTATAAATTATCCCAGAAGTGGTATGCTTTTGCCAATTAAATTTCTTCCTGCTAATACATTATTCATAGAATGCAAATATGCAAAACCTTATATTTAAAATATATTCTAAGACATGGGGTGACTCAGAAGTAGAACGTAAATTGACAGCATGTTATGCGGTAAAAAGTAAAATACTGGTAGTTATAGGTATGACTGTCCTAACAATATCACGCACCTGCCCACCCTAGCCCACATCCCCCTCACCCCATCCCAAATGTGCTGTAGGATAGTTCCCTGAGTGTTCACACAGAAATGCATTGGCCATATTATCTGTAATGTAATGTATTGGGTGAATATAGGCAAGTTACTATACTTTTGATGAACTTGCATGTACTCCTAATTAATGGTGCCATGCAATAAAGTGGGAAATGACTTTTACTTCTAAAAAGCTAAATCATGTCCAAATAATTCTTAGGCAACAAGACTAAAGATGGCAGTTAATAATTATGTGTATGTGTAATTGAAAGCATGCATCTGTCTTTGGAGAATAGTTATGTATTTTCTAAATATTAAAAATGTTTTTATAGACTGTTTTTGTTTGAGAAAGAGAGAATGGGAGATAGAAAAACCTGCTCTACTTCAACAGATTCTAAGGAAATAACCTGGAGGGTTTTATTTAAAATGTTTTATTGTTTTTATTGCCAAACAAAATAACATATGATTGCATTCCAGTTATTATCACATGGTATCATTTTATTCTAAGACTTGGGACTTAAAGACTGACAAATTTGACCTCTGAAGATATATTTGCAATCAGTGGAATCAGTGAGATTTGCATATGCACAATTCTAGTAGATATGTTTAAAATAAAAGAGAAGTTATGTAAATTATTCCCAATATAAGTACACTCTCTGCTTTTGCTTCTATATACCATCCCCTGTAGTTTAACATTTATATAGGATATTTTAGAAGTTTTATTTGGCTAAATCTCCTAAATTAAGGCTTTCCACTAATGCTGGTCATTTTTTCCTTCAATGATAGGTAACTGAAATATTGACATTTTTTGGTTCATCGATGATTGAACCTCAGTGTCCTGGGATTTCTATTGCCCTGTACTATGCATTCACATGGAAATTCCAGTGTTCTACACAGAAATCTAGAATTATCTGACCCTCTTCTATAGGTAAAGTGTAAGGTTAACTATTTATTCCCGTTGCCCATGCTGCTGTTTGACTTCTAAGTGGGCATATTATCTTAACTTTATCATCAGAAGGAAAAAAGTACTTTATTACTCATTTTTTATCCTAAATTTTCTGTTTCTCAAAGATGTAGTTTAGATGCATTGTAAGAACCAAAATATTGACAAATTTTATTAATGGTTTTTGTAATCTAGTTGGTTTAAATGAACAAACTGCAAGTTCTTTGAGAATATTTCCTATCTTGGGATACTTTTTTTTTTTTTTTTTTAACTGACCTAAGTGCTTTGAACAGGGGGAAAAAAGTATACAAATGCAAAGTGTAAGGTCAGGTCTACTTTTTACTCAAAATATTTCCTTTTTTTTCACTGCTTCAACAAATCAAATGGTTCCTCTTTTCTTATGAGAGTCAATGGCAAGGACATGTGAAAATAATCAGGAATTGAGCTTCTGAGATAGAAAAATAATATTTTTATGAATGTGGTTGTCATTCCCTGCAGAAATGACCCAGAATTGTCTCCAGTCATGTCTCCGCATTTATTTATGTCTCCCAAATATGTCGGCTCACTTATACAATGACTTATACAGGTGGCTGCTTTTCAGGGATTAATTTGTGTTTTTAGCTTAAAAGTCATTGCACTTGTTTTCTTTCTGTTTGAGATGCATTTATAAACAGGTTGTAATTCTATACTGATGCTCAAACAAGTCTTCTTACTTTTTAACTTGTGTACCTAAACTATCTACTGCTCAGAAGAGATTATACTCATTTATTAAATAGACTGACTGAATCTCCAATCAGCTGTGAGATGCTCTTCAGTTCTTTACTTCAGTCTTTACTTCATAGTCTGGAGTACTTTCTGCCAAAATTGATTTCCTCTATTGCTTTTAATGAAAGGCAGCTTGTCTTCTGTGCCATCTTATACATGCAAGCTGCCACATCTCTTATCCAAGAAGCATGACTTTTAATAAGGATCTCCTGTCATTTCCAAAGTAAAACACTTGATTGGGGACCACAGTGGAAGTTGACAAGCCTAATTGGCTGAGACATGTTGCAGTGTTTGTCATCAAATTCAGAAAAATAATCAAGAAGGGCTATAAGACATTCATCATAAGCAATCAAAACTTCCAATTTGGTTGACTAAAGTGAGTCTTCAAAAGAAACACCAGTGATTAACAAATGCAATCTGTATTACGATGCAACTTATTAAAGAAGGGCATGAGTGAAATTGTATTTTTCTTTATTTACGTATTTTCTTATTTTAATTATGCATGCATATATTATAAATTTTTTAAAACACAAAATTTATGCAGGATCTTAGAGAATCATCAAATGCAATTCTTTCTTCTTTGCACAAAAGAGATACTTTTAAACTGTCCTACTTTTTGTGGCATTATAGAGGAAAAATCTTTCATAATTAGTAACTCTTCTGATTCTTCACCGAGGGATGTGTTTTCTCACATCTAAGAATATTATTTTATGCTTTAGCGCTGTTTTTAAAAATGTTGATCTTAATGAAGATGGAAAACACCTGATCACAAATCTTCTTAGCTGGCATTGAGTGAATCACTACAAATGGACAATAGGAAAATGTAATAGTATTCTCTGTAAGCATTTTCCAAAATAAAGCCAGCTCTTCAGAGATTTTCTTTTTCTGTATTTCTCAATGCCCCCAAACCCCATCAATCATATCAAATTTTGAGAAGACTGGAAGTAAAAATGGGATCCATCAAATCCTGTTCTTGCTTAATACACTTGCAGAGGTTTCCATTTTAATCAAGTTATACTATTTATTAGAACCAATGCATCATTTTAGAAAGTTAAGATCCTTTCCTAGACATAAAGTTAATGTCCCTTTTAAAAGCAGACAGTTTTTCTTTTCTTTTTTTTGAGACAGGTTCTCACTCTGCTGCCCAGACACCAGTGCGGTGGCACAATCTTGGCTCACCGCAGCATTAGCCTCTTAGGCTCAAGTGATTCTCCTGCGTAGCTGTGGTTACAGGCACATGCCAGTACCACCCGGCTAATTTTTGTATTGTTAGTAGAGACAGGGTTTCACAATGTTGGCCAGGCGGGTCTTGAACTTCTGACCTCAAATGATTCACCAGCCTCAGCCTCCCAAAGTGCTGGGAGAAAGTAGACACTTTTAAGCCATCATACTAGCAAACAATCTTAGAACAATTCATAACACATGAAGTACTTCCCACATGAAGTTCATCTTTTTAATTTAGCACCTAAATCATATAGCAAGGAGGATGGAGCTGTGAAGGGGTCCAAGCTATGGGAGAGCTGAAGCCAAAGAATAAGTGTTTTGACTTTCAGTTTACTGTTTTCCCACTACAACACATTGCTTCTTCTTAAAATATAACAGCTGAGTTATTTAGAGGTCAATTACTGCTACTTATAACCATCAGAAAAAGCTACAGTCTGCAAAGAAAGAGAAAACAAATCTGAGTAGCACAGGAAATAGATGCCACAGAGTCACAAATTTTACTAATTAGTGAAAAGAATGACACAACCTCCCTAAAACTATGTTTCTGAAAGTGAGGAAAATTATATGCTATCCTAAGAAGTCAGATTTTCACTCAAAAACATAGTATTTTTGTTCTTACTAGGCAGGGTAGATAGATGGGTGGTGGGCAGATGCTGCTAGATGCTGTTACAATGACCTCAATGAGAAGTGACAGAGAGATAATAGATAAAATCATTAGAAATAACAAGGAAAGCCCAGGGTTAGAGAGGAATTTCATGTTTCCAGAAGCTGCCCTACACAATTCAGAACCCATTAGCGGCATCATTATGATAGGAGAGCACAGTAGACTCATTAAGACTTGAAGACAGTTCTGCACCAGGAAGGATTTTAAGTACGCAGAGTTATGCCTCCTGCTAGATTCCAAGTCACTCACTCTACTCCAGGTCTGTGGCTTTGGGCTAGAGATACACGGATCTTTGTATTTACTGAGAGAAGATACAAAAAGGTTATATTTAGTTTTAATATACTGTCAATGAGTCTTCTTAAAGATCAGATATGTAAAACTGTATGTATCATTTGCTTATTTAATTCATACATTATTTGTCTTGCTGACCACATGAGATAAGTGGGTTGTAAGTCCACGTGTGGAGTTCCCTTACGTCCACACCATTCCTCCAGTATAGCCATTAACATCAAGCTCCAGCACATGATTAACATTACTTGACAAAATCTGCAAAAAAATAAGTAGCAATTTCTTTTCTTTATTAATTTATATTATTTTGTTTTATTTTATCTTATATTTTGAGATAGGGTCTTGCTCTGTCACCCAGGCTGGAGTGCAGTGGCACAATCTCGACTCACTGCAACCTCCACCTCCTGGGTTCAAGCGATTCTTGTGCCTCAGCCTCCTAAGTAGCTGGCACTACAGGTGTGCACCACCAAACCCAG